TTCAGTCCTCGCCAAAACCAGTTTGGATATATCTTAAGGGGATAGAACGAGCGGGAAAGAGGAGGAGGGTGAGGAGGAGAAGGAGGAATTGAGAAGGGATATAAGGTCTAAAACATTTTTCAAAAACTGGCGTAGGACAGCATTATTGAGCTGCGTTCGTTTCGTCATTGGTCATGCGGACGATAATGGAGACTTCGCATTTCTGGAACCTGATTAGGTTCCTCCCTGAATCCAGTAAACATCCCATGTTGCGACTATGCCCACTGTTGTTCAAATAACTTCCAGATGTTCAAATCCGCGGTGTTGCAGTGACTAAGCTTTTGTGTCTGTACGTCTGGGTACTGATAAAAGAAGCTATTTCATGGGTTAGGTCATCTCACACATCCAAAACTGTTGGGTCCGTAGATGAGATTTCCTCGGAAATTGCAGTATGGTGTACGCACACATAATAACCTCCCGGAAACAAAAAATTCCATTTGATTGCTCCGAAAATGTTTAACCCCTCTAGAAGCAAGGTCCAGTAGCTGGTGTACTGCGTTCATTTTTAAAGCCCCTATATCGTCTTGACGGTATGTCTTTCAAAGGTATGGAGTAATTTGTATTTTTGAGCACATAAACGTGCATTAGGGATAGTACAGTCGTCATGGTTGTGGTCGGTTGCAGTGTTCATTGTCTTCAGAGTTTTGTCGTCGTGTGTCCAAGACGTCCAGGAATGGGCCATTTCTCTCTACATACCCCCTCATTGTGAACCGTGTTGGTGGATAAGCGGTATCGAGGTGATTCTTCAAAGGTAAGGATGTTTCCCCTGCGTATAATGATTCAATGGGCCTTTACTGCACCACAGTCGTGATGATTCTGGTGATCTGTGAAAGTTACTCGTTTGGAACTCTTTTTCATCGGAGGGGCATCGCGCTCCTTTGCAGACTGTCGGGTTGAGGAACACGATCGCGGTTGGACGAACGACGCGTACTCGGAGCAGCTTTATCGGCGATAATGACAGCACCTTCCTCGCCCTCTAAATTCCGGCCAAAACAGTAGATCCCAGTGAATTGGCTCATTTCTCCCTAAGCAGCCCAAAACCCATGATGAAATTGCAGCAAGTAACGAGGCGAATGTCGGCCATCAAACAGTCAGCATACCAAATACAACTATACCTGATAATGAGAGGGAGACGTGAATATTCATAGGTGTGCGGTAGCATGGCGACTGCAGCCTATAAATACTGCATCCCCTTGTGCATGAACCACCTGTATCTGCTTTGTCTCTGATGATGGGTTCTAGCAGGAATCCGTAACGTCGGACGAATAAAGCTCTTGTCCCAGCCATCTCGTCTTCTTCTTCCCGACTGCCTCTTGGGACTTGTCTCTTCGTTTTCATTGGCAAATATCTACCTTGCCGACACAGGTGAAGACGCGAGTTCTAGGAACTAGTTGAGAAGAAGTAAAGGCGGTCGCTCGAACCCGTCTCAGCCACTATCTCTGATGATGGGTTCGAGCGAGAATCCTAAACGTCAGGCGTATAAAGCTCTTGTTCCAGCGATCGCTTCTACTTCTTACCGAAAACCTACCTGTCACTCTGCTTGAAATCCCCCTTGCCTTCTACTATTAAATGAGTTTTATATCTATGTTTTTTTCGAACATATCAAGTCAAATTAAGTCCCAACATTACCCAAGACTACCAATAAGACCGGTCAATAATAAAAAGCCTGGAACAGCGCAGGGAGAGATCAAATTAAGGTGATACGCTGGCCAAATTATCAGTGTTCGTCCTCGATGTGTATTCTCAGTTTGGATATACGTAGAGGATGCTTTCAAATTAATGCCCGTATGTTGCATTTGTAGTGAACATTGCCCATCCTTTATTTCAGCCTAGTGTATAAACATTAACTGGTGCTTATGGCTCACAGCTGCCTGAGGCATTTAAAGCCGATTGTATTGTTCAGAAGCCATTTTTAGCAATGCACTTTCCTGTCATGACGTTTTTTGAATATAATTTGAACCATGGTCTGTGTCTGCTCCGTCTCGGAAGTTCCAGTTAACACATCGTTGTTGGTCATCCTCTGAGCTCCTTACAATGTCTCCGTACAACCTACTGAGAGATTGCCCCTTTTTGCGGCACTTCTATCTTCCCGAGATGCACCGGCCTTGAGTGCTGCGTCTTATGTCTAGGGATTGTTGGTAGCTCTCTTCAAACATCCATACGACAGTTCGGCCGTCGTGTCTGACGATGTCCATTGTGTGCTCCACAGCAAGGTGCAGCAGGCACGGTGGCTTGCACGTGAATTAGTTTATAATGAGCGTGGACTTGCGCAGCATCTACCGCACTCTCTCCTCCCCCCTCCTGAATCAAGAGGATCGGAGGAGGAAGTGGACGCAGGTGGATGGCACGTACCACCACACCCCCTGGTATAAACAACACTTGACCAGGATTTTAACCAACGACAAAAGTGGGGGAGGGGGAAACAGGGATCCGAATTTGCGCGACCTGAGCTGGTAGCTGGGTCTGCCACTACATCCCGAATGTTGGCATTCCCGCTAACGTCTGCCTGAACCCTGTTGGTTCAGCATATCCATCGCGTGGCCCCGTCTTGGGGGCACAACACAACAACAACAACTTACAACAAAAACTTGGCAAACCCACATCCGGGCTCGGTTTGAACTTTTCAGTGAGACTTAGGGTTGGATGTGGGAATGTAGACCCGTTCGTACTAGAAGTGGCGTTGCCCTATGTTCTAGCGGGATGAGGGCTATGAGAGTTAGGGGGAGTAGGTGCCACCTGGAAACCAGTTGGGTCAATATGAATTATTCAAAATCTGCCAAGACATCTATGAATTACGTAAGCCTGGGAGTCATCTGGTGGATTCTAGGTGAATTACTTAGGAAATCTGGCATGGGTAGTCAGCTTACTGTATGAGATTTGGTGGATTCTGGACGTTGCAGTCGGTTGGGCGGGTAACCTGACCCAAATATGAGTAAACTCGCGTCGTCCGGCGGGGCCGCGTAGCTCAAGTGGTTAGAGCGTTGGTTGTCCTAAAGCCTTCCCATTAATGCATGGGTTCGAATCCCACCGAGGCGCAAAGTTTTTCACAGTTGGGTCAATATGAATGAGTCAAACCGCCTGTCCTTAGGGGGGAAGGTCCATGATCCCGTACCTGAACGAACTTTAAAGTGTACCGGTGTTGGTTGGCGGTAACTACTCGCATATTTTCTTCATTTCTCCTCAACGCGTTCCTATCCTTTGCTTGTTTTGCCTGTTAGAAGATTCGGCAAGGGTATGGTATATGACGCCACTGGGGGAAACTGTAGTTGGTAGTACTCGGAAACACGATCCTGCTTGGTTACCAATTTTTCGCTTTCGGTCGGTGCAGTACTTCTAGCGGATATTTTCGATTTTAGGTACTTGGTCAACTGCCGCAGTTACGACTCACGACGACGCTTGCAGTCTCGCATTGCATTGGGGTTAGGTTTTGTTTAAGGGTAAGTTTTTACGGGTAGGAATATTGTTTAGAGTTAGGGTCGCGGTTCAGGGTTATGGTCAAAAGATAAGGTTTATAGGAAGTAGAAGTGATCGCTGAAACAAGGCCTTTTGTTACCTGACATTTAGGATTCTCACTTGAACCCACCATCAGAGGCATTGACAGAAACCGTTGATTCGCGCACAGGAAGTCGCAACATTTATAGGATGCAGTCGCGATGCTACCGCATACCTTTATTAATTGACCGGGCTCCCCTTCATCAAGGATTGTTGCCCGCTGGTGCGCTAATTGCTTGATGGCCGGAATGCAAGCTGTTAATTTCTGAAATCTCATCATCCGTGTTGGATGCTGGCGTAATGATTGCTCGGTCATCTGGCTCACCGGCCTGCGCGCTCCCCAAGTGGTTAATTACTTTGGCCAGCCTATGTCTCAGCACGAAATATGGAGGGGAGATGTCGTTGCACTTGTTGGTAGACTGGGGTTCCGTGAACCATGACTCAAGCAACAAGGGCAGTTCGACAGGACTCGTGCCTTCACTCTAGAATTTCGTCTTATGAACCTCTTCCGAGGGCGACCTTTTACTGCACCGCACAAAAACAAACGGTGATCAGAATCTCTTTGGCCAGAAGCCATTCTAGTTCCTCCCACCGACTTTGTTTGCCGTCCTGCTACGTCAAGGTCACTCACGTTTATAACGAAGGTTTCCGAAGACGCAGAACTTTTACTAATACTGGATCCGCCACGGATGTATGCGTGCGCATAAACCGCTGCAGTGATTCTACTTTTGTCGCTTGTTTACGATCCCGCTGCCCAATGTCTAAAATTTCTCTTAGATACAGTCAAAAACATCTTTACATCGGTATGCTGCAAATCCAGGGAAATGGATCGGGCTTCAACCCAACTATAGTAATTAGATGGGTACCGAGGGGACCAATGTGCACTTCTTGCCAGCGGTGACAAGGGAAACGGTCGTACCTGGCCTTGGTCTTGCAAGTTTATTATGCAAAGTGTGGTCGAAGGAACGGTTTCGCAGATTCCACTGGATTAGAATGTGGCTGCTGTGGCTATGCGAAATGCGGAAGATGTCATGTTTCGCGCTCTGCTGGCCTATACATATCAGCCTGTGAACAGCTTCAGGGCGTGGGCGTCGCGAGGCCGACAGAACTATGTGCGTGTGTGCCGCTTACAGCCCATTCTCAGGGTTGATCACTCTACCTGAACGACCGAGTCAAGGCTGATTACCTCATCAACGCTCTCTGGGTGACCTTTACGCGCGTCGGTGGTATTCAAACAAATCAAGCATCGATGTAGATGCCCCACCGTTATCTGGCAACAACCCGCCTTCTGAAACGCATGTTGCCCAAATCTGTCCACTTTTTCCGTCGTTTGCAAAAGTTTACTGAAGTGGTGTTTGTGTATCAAGGTTTTACTTGAGCACGAAGCTGCGCACAATTTTAAATCGCCTGGGACGACACATTTCCGGAAGGGAAAACTTGAGGTCCTAAATTCTGAAGTCTCCTGAGCATCAGAATTCCGCATTGAAAGGATACTCCGGATGATGCACTGCCCTGAAAAAAAGTCATATTAAATATCCCAAGGTGGTGAAGTAAACATACATTGGCATTGTGAAGGCGCGAATATTGCGGCCGTGTGTATTGAGTATTTCCATCTCCTCCTTCGTCAGGGTAAATTTAAATATCTGAAAGCATTTTGGAGGGAGTAAGGAGACGAAAAAAGGAAACGTTAGTATTTGAGCAGGCTCAGTGAACGAGTCGGCTAGACTAGCTTTTCATACGGCTAGCCAATACTACACAAACACAACCCCCGCATACCCCATGTCATTTTGTTGGGCATCCTAAGACGCTGTTAAATCTACCCCCAATTTATGTCCTGCAGATGGGCGATCGCATGTTTCCGAAGCGTTTATTATATATAAGGCTCATCCAGCTTTTCGGTTTTCTTATCTTGTGATGGTGTTGGCGGTCATTGTATTTAGGATGCTACTGCTGTCGCCATTGATGCTGCTGTTGTTGGTGATGATGCTGATGATGGTGATGATTGTGTTGTGGTGGTGGTGGTGGTGGCGGCGGCGGCGGCGGTGGTGATGATGATGACGACGGCGATGATGATGACGATGATACTGATGGGGGTGTTGACAATGATGACGGAAACAGCGACGATGACAGTGATGAGGATGAGGAAGAGGCTGCTTGCGACTTTAGTGGTTAATCTTTCTGCAAGGATGTAGTCATCAATGGTAGAGGGCGTTCACCGATCGTTCCTACGGAATTCGCTCGTCCCGTTGTGCCTTACGGACTCTCTCTCTCTCGAGCCCAACCGGCAGCCGCGCAGCGGCTCATGATACTGGCAGAATGTTATTAGCGACAAAGATAATGAAGACTGGAATGGCCATTTCTGGCTTATAAGCCGTCGTCAGTCAGTCACACCCAACTCCGAAGCGTGGAACACCTGGATCTCGATCCCGCGACCTGTTAGTTAGAAGTCCAACGGCTCTAACAACTCAGCGGGATCGGATCCCAGATGTTCAACACTACGGGGTTGGGTGTGAATGGCTGACGACGGCTAATAAGCCTGAAATGGCCATTCCAGTTTCCCTTCTATTTGTCAATAATAAGTAATCATCAGCGTACAATGCTGCTACTCTTCATACTGTGAAGCCCGCGTGCACATGCTCACTTCGTCAATACTGGTTTGGCAAATTTGTGCCCGCAGACTTTCGGGCGGTCGCGTTGTGAACAAGTAGTCCCCAGTGGATCATTTCCTCCACACTTAATAATTCTCAAAATTAAGAGCACAGGTGCTAGCTAAAAGTCTCGACACGGTAGGTTCGGATCGTCAGGTCGTCGCCCAACTTCCTCGTGGGCTTTTTGTTAAATACCACGAGCCTATCACAGCTGGATCGTGCAGCGACTCCAAATAGACGAAAAACGTGTGTGCAGTTTAGGTAGTACCAGTACTGTCAGTTTGTCTTATATTTAATAGTTTACATACTACTATATGTCTGTTAGTAGGGTGTAAATAGTAACTTTTGTATTGCCGAGGCTGCCGGATTTCAGCTCAACTATTCAAATCAACGTCTGGATCGGGCCAAAAATTGCGCTACAAGGGATTTCCTCCAAGCTACTTTAAAGGAGTCAAGAAGGTAAGCGTTTCTTACATTTTGTACAAAAAAGACGAGAGGGGTAACAATCCTACTGAATTACCAGAAAAAAACCCGAGTTTTATTGCTTACGTTGAACATAGCCTTAATCCTTTCGGCTTTTGAGCTGTTTGCAACCACGGAAAGACCGCGTTGTACTGCATGCCTAAGGAGAACCTGAGCCGGCGTCTTCCTGTGGGCCTGGGCAATATTCTCCACGTATTCGGCATTCAACGGAGATGGAATATCCCTGTTCGAGATCGGTAACACAGAGATTGATAGACAAAGTATCGGATGCAAATTTCTCGCACTTGTGCAGCGGAAAGTGAGGACACACTTTTTAAGTAAGAAGGCAGATTTGGGGATAGCACGATTCAGCAGAAAAGAAGAGTTGGGAAAATTATAGCCTGAGGATGCAGCCGGGTAAGAAAGTTGTTAGTTCCAAGTTCATTGCGCCGCTGCTGCGGTTATCGGAGTCTGCACTCTGAGGAACAATTATCAGGCCATATCCATTTGGCATTACTGCCTGAATCATATTTTGGAAGACTTTGTTCACTTTTCTATTTTAGTCCTTATCGCCCCGTCTGCTTAGCTCGAGTTCGCTTTGAACGACTGCAGAAGCAAACTCTACAATGATTTCTTGGCCGGTAACTGCCTATACACCTTGAATCCTGACATGCTTCCACTCTACGTAGCAGAGAATTCATCTGTCCGGACTCTCCGCTGTCTCCCGTGCAAGTATCCATTTCATTACTAAGTCAAAGATTGTCCACTGAAAGTCTACGCTCAGAAAGGCAATTTAATCCACGCTGGAGTTAGCCAGAATGCAGCAGGTGTACACCGGGATCTGTTTTGTCCTCTCGCCTACAGTCGATACAATTTGAAATCGTAATCGGATATTGGAGAGAAGAAAGAGTGAATTGGGCGCTGGGCAGGTGGCCATAGCGAGATGTCGCCGCTCTTCAACGATTGTGACAGGCGAATTGTCGGATTGCCAGTTGTCCGTAAGACTCTGCCTCCAAATGAACCCCAGTTTCTTTATAGGTACCGGAAAGACGAGTCTGGTCCTCATAGTTGATCACAGATTACAGATCTAATAGACGCAAACTTTTTTACTGTAGGTGGGGGACAGTAAAGGCGGTGGTGTAACGCCCCAATACCTGTGTAAGGCTGTTCGAGTGATGAAACCCTTTTGGCGCGCGGAACTAGATAGCGTAACTGCGTTTCGGTGAAGATGGACGGTGTCCCTTTCTCTCACTACCACCGTCCCCATTCCCGCAACTTAGCGTAACGCTCGCCTCGCTCTCTCTCTCTCTACGCAGGCATCTCCCTCGGCCCTACCTTCAGCGCTGCGTTTCCAACCGGTTGTTTAGGTGGCACGTCGGTGTCGCCTCTCCATCCAGACAGGTTTCTCCCTTGTTATAACTCATCCCGCTCGTTCAATCAACTATTAAAATACAGTGAATGACAGATCTCATGAAATGTTGGTCGAAATTCTGAAATGTGTTTTCGACTAGGAAGGATTACTCAGATGCGGTTGTAATACTGATTATCTTGCGGCAAAGCCTTATAACATTTCGGACTGGGCAGGATGTCAGCTTTTAACTGCTCTGCTTTGCAATCTCCTATAGCAACCGTACCTGGTAAAAAATGACTACTCAAGCAACATGCATTTTTCACATTGATTTTCGATGGTGTTGCAAATTCAGATATATCTTATAGAAACCATGAACAAAAACATGCTTTCCTTTAGTCGTTTGATGGAGAAACACGTCATCTTTATATTTTATACTTGAAGAAGGGGTATAATTAGGTTTTTTAAAAAGTTTCTAATTATAAGGCTTTTAAGACTGCAATGTCCATTCACATAGCATCGTACCTGTCCATTTGCCACTGCTTCTCATGAAATGTGCAACATGGACCGCATCCATTGCACAATTTTATGGACTCCGTGTGACATGTGTTTAAAGGCATAAAAGAATATGAGATTATCTTTACGCGGGACGCATTCACTTTGTAGACTAAAATCACTAAGCGCTAATGCGACGGCTGATCAAGCTCCAAATTAGTCGGGAATTATCAAACATTTCCAAAACCTAATTATACTCCTTGGTCAAATATAAAAAATAAAGATGACGCGATTCTCTGTCAAACGACTGAAAGAAAGCCTATTTTCGCTCGTGGTTTCTATAAAATATATTTGAATTTGCAAGACCATCGAAAATCAATGTGAAAAATGCATGCTGCTTGACTGGTCATTTTTTACCGAGTACGGTTTCTACAGGAGATTGCAAGGCAGAGCAGTTAATATCGGACATCCTGCCGAGTTCGAAATATAATAGGGTTATGCCGCAAGATAATCAGTATTACAACCGCATCTAAGTAATCCTTCCTAATCGAAAACGAATTTCAGAATTTCTGCCAACATTTCATGAGATCGGTCACTCACTCCATGTTTTCCCAGTTTCCATCTCCTCTCACTATGGCTTATTGCCTATTTAACGCCTATGCTTCTCTTGTGCATGCATCCTAAAGGCTCTATTTAGATCGTTTTCAGCCAGGATCGCCTCCCAGTGCTTCGCTACTTCAGTGTATGCTAACCTCTACGTCCTCAGCCACTACAGTGGCGACTTGGCCAGACAGATGGTTTCATTCCAATCGACTCGGGCATAACACCTTTAATTACTAGTTACGAAAGTGAGAACTGCTCACGATGTTGATTGGCAAAATAAGCAGAGGTGGTGCACTTTAGTGACTTACTCAACTGCGCCCGGAGAACCGAAGGGTGCGTAGGCGGTGATCTGAATGCCTTTCGAGTGACAGTAGTCAATTAGTTTTTGATTTAGCCAATTCACAGAGACCTCAATTTGATTAACCGCCGGAGGTATTTTGCAGACGGCCAGAATGCGATCAATTTGAGACTTGTTGAAGTTTGAAACTCCGATCGACCTAACGAGGCCGGCCTCAACCAGCTCCTCCATACCCTGCACGGAATGAAGCGCATGAGGGAAAACACTCAAATCAACATCCGGATGAGGGCTGGGTAAGGATTAAGTATATGCACGGGACAAGGAAAAAATGTGAAGAACTGCCTACTATATTTTCCAAAGTAGGTGTCGTTCTGCAGATTTTTTGGTCGACCCTTCGTCAGCAGGATGACATTCGCCGACTTCTGCGGCGCCGAGGAACCACTACTGCTGAAATATCTACATTGGTTCATTGTTTGGCATGCCCCACACGTTATTTTTTACTAAGAGGAAAGCTCAGTTTTTAAATAGGCTTTGCGCGGCGAACAGTCGAGTAGTAAAAAACACAAGACGTAATGGTAGATGGGATATGCAAGTCTGTCCGTATAGGAGGAGTGTTAAAACGCTGGCATATCCTTACCCTGCGCATATACGTAATCCTTGCCAAAGGCAAGTTAAATGACTGTGACAATGAAGAATTCACCCCAAACATAAGAATCAGTTTAAAAGACGGTCAGATGCGACAATGTAGCCCCACCTGAAGTAAACAAACTCCAGCCACCTAGACCGGTGGTAATAAGGGTTATTACAAGCGGGGCGGGGGGGCGCACTGGCCACGAGGTCAAGTAGTTGAGTGACCGATCTCATGAAATGTTGGTCGAAATTCTGAAATGCGTTTTCTATTAGGAAGGATTACTTAGGCGCGGTTGTAACACTGATTATCTTGTAGCACAATCCTATAAAATTTCAGACTTGGCAGGATGTCAGCTTTAGAACGTACTTCTTTTTGACCTCCTGCGGAAACCGTACTCGGTAAAGAAGGACTACTTAAGTAGCATGCATTTCCCCATTTATGTTTAATGGTCTCATAAATTCAAATATATTCGATGAAAGGCGCGGATAAAGTGCTTTCTTATACTCATTTGATTGAGAATCACGTCATCTTTTCATTGTATCTCTGATGAAGTAGTGTAATTAGGTTTTAAAAAAGTTTTATAACTCCCGAATAGAGTCCATAAAATTTTGCAATGCATGCGGGCTATGTTGCACATTTTATGAGGAGCAGTGGAAAACGGACGAATACGATGCTGCATGAATGGCCATTGCAAAGTATTCAAAAATCTTAAAATTAGAAACCTTTTTAAACCTAATTACACTCATTCTTTAAGTATGCAATAAACAGATGACGTAATTCTCTATGAAATTAGTAAAAGAAAGCATTTTATCCGCGCCTTTCATTGAATATATTTCAATTTGCAATATCATCGAAAAGCAATGGGGAAAAGGCTTGCTGCATAAATAGTCATTCTTTACCGAGTACGGTTTTTACAGAAGGTCAAAAAGGAGTATATTCAAAAGCTATCATCCTGCCAAGTCTGAAATATTATAAGATAACGTCACAAGATAACCAGAGCTGAAACCACGCCTAAGTAATCCTTCCTAATCGAAAACGCATTTCAGAATTTTGGCTAACATTTCTTGAGATCGGTCACGCACTATATGCAAAAGAAAAAACTATTGGGAATGCGCGGCTGCACTTCGAGTGGTCGGGAAATAGCTGCCCTAACCCCTAACTCCAGCCCTAACCTCCATCCCTAATCCCGCACATATATTTAATCCTCGCCAAATGCAACTCCAATGTCTGCAACTATGAAAACCTTATCCTGAGCATAAGAATCCGTTTAAAGGACTGAGATGAGTATAAGTGAAGTAGACTTCGTACAAGTCGATTTGGCTAATTGTTCTCTGTGGGTGGCTGAATGCGTCTATTAGCGTCCACAAGACCTTTGAGCCCTAGGTAGGATGCGGTTATGCAGGGGTTGGGGCTAGGGGTTAGGTTTAGCGGTTAGTGTTAGGGCCTATGGTTAGGGTGGGGAAACATAACCACATCTGACTAAGCCACTACATACAACGAAAAACGCTCCTATAAAGGAGAAGCATGTAAATGATGATTGTAAACCCCCTATTATTATACACTGGTGGGTCACATACCTTCCACGTCTCCTCCAGAGGAACATATTCCACTTCGATTGAATCTGGATCGAATGCTAAGTACTGCTTACCCTTCTTTATCTGCACGCATAGAGTCAGTAAGGCGGAATAACCTTAAAAGGAACAGGGAAGTGAATGAGATATAGGTCCAGGTATCTGAGTCCCAGTCTTCGTAAACTTTCCTCACAGGCTGGACGCACATCTTCCAGGCGATGGGCATTACACCACAACTATACCAGAATTGGAGTTACGACCTCGGCAAACCTTTGACGTAATGAAGATGTCCTCGCGTTTCAGCGTTCCGTCATCAAACTTCTCCTTGAGAGCGTCGCCAACTTCAACTTCATTTTGGTAGGCGTGAGCGCAGTCAATGTGTCGGCAACCCGCCTCAATCGCCCACAGGACTGGCTGTTCTGATTCGTATGGAGTTGACTGAAGCTGGACAAAATGTGGGCGAACCAACCATAAATGTGCCATATCCGACTTGGGGCATTTTATAACCGCTGTTGAGAGTCAGGAAGGTTTGGTCGGAAGCCATAGCAAGGTGAGGAGTGCCGTCGCCGCGCTTTGATAAACAGGGCCGTCCTAGTGTGCAGTGAACGCGGCAATTTAATGTCTAGGTGGGTTCTGCGGGAACCAATCGCATACCGAACTTTGTAACTGTCCTGCTATATCTTATGTCAGATATCGAGTAAACATCCGGCGATTCTGATTAACTGCAGCATCGAAACGCATAATGATTGGAGTGAGAGTCGAGTCCTATGAAGGAGTCGTAGAGTCCCGCATTGATCAGGGTACAAAATGACGGCGGATATACAAGTGACACATAGGCAGGCGCCGATGAGCGTGCGGAATAAAAGTGCATGGTGTGGCAGGCGCCTAAACGGCCTACAGGCTTGTGTGTATGCACTGCCATATCGCGCAGAAAAACAAACGAAAGACGCATATTTAAGGTCCCCCCAAGTCGTGCAGTCCCCGGTAGTTGCCACTCAGAAATGTCTGCGTCCTTATGCACTCCTTATTTAAAGTGCCACTGGAACTCGCGTACGGAAGCACTCCAGAAATTATTCAAGCAGCGCGCTCAATTCCGTTGCTATATATATATATATATATACTGGAAGATGGGCATCCCAAGAAACATAATTCGAAGAAGAATGAGTCCTTTGGGAAAATGAACAAACTTTATTTCGTAAATTTTCGAGTCTGGTTCCCCAGCTCGTCTTCAGACGTGTAGTAAGAGTGAAGAAACAGTCAAAATTTAAACAATGCCGAAAAAAATCGATATTGCTCTGTCATGACTGAGGATGGGTTAATGCTGTGGGCTGATGTCACGTCTTGATTGGCTATTACCTTTTCCATTGTTCTTTGAGACTTGTGTACATGGTATCAAGGTCGATGCGTCGATTGATGCATGAATCATCAGAGTGAATGGCCTCTAGGAATTCTCGGCCTTTCTTATATGGGCAGGAACCGACAATGCGTGTTTTATCCCAAGCGAATTTGTGCCCAGTTTCAAGAGTATGCATGGCGACTTGGGATAAGTGGTCCCGCCGAACGTATTATACCGCAATCCCGACATAGGTACTAACTAAAAGCCCAGACGCGTGTTTCGCTGATATTCTGCAGCTACGTGACACAGCTGCGAGGGGTTCGGCTCTTCAGTGGGGCTCTCAGCGTTCTCTATGAGGTTTCCATTATATACCAGAAATATCATGTCCCGGAGACTTAACGCCATGTCCTGCGCTGAGTCATTTCTGTTTCGATGGCCAGGTCCTGCGGGATTGAAGTAAAGAGAGAGGTGACGTCAAATGACACCATGACCTCGTCTGCAGTGAGTCGCGTTCCCCTGAGCCGTTCCAGAAACTGAGTAGCTGAACAGACCGTTGTGGTTGCGCCTGAGGTGAGAGGCCTCAGGTGTCGGAACAGCCATTTAGCCAGATTGAATGTTGGCGCGCCGCGAAGTGACACGATTGGTCGGAGGAGGACATCGACCTTGTGCACTTTGGGTAGCCCGTAGAACCTTGGTGCGGTTGCATCTGTTGGTTTAATGACCAGTCGTACCGACTTGCTTATTACTTTGTTCCTTTGCATTTCAGCGAGCGTTTTGTCCAACTGCGTCAGCAGCTTCCTCATCTGCTCATCATCACATCGGAGGTAGGCCTGTCGACCATCCAGCAGGTTGTTAGCCTTCTGAATGTAGTCGGTCTTGTCCAAGACAACTGTAGAACGCCCTTTGTCTGCTGGCAGTACAACAATGCTCATGTCGGCCCTCAGTTTCTTGAGGGCATCCTGTTCTGCTCAGGTGATATTTGCGCGTGGTTTGTGCGCCATCACCAAGGCGGTTAAGTGTTGCCGAAAGAGGTGTTTTGTTTCGTCGAATTCCTCCATTTGTTTGAGAATCGATTCCACTGTTGTTGGTGTACAGGAAGGCTACCGACACACGCCAAATCCTAAGCTATCACAGTAAACACCCGTTATGTCACAAACGCAACTGTGTGTGAACTCTCTACAGTAGAGCAGAAACACATTGCAGCGAACCGCATGACAGAAGGACAGAACTCCGCTATCTTCAGCGCCTTTTCATGGCCAACGGATACCCCCGTAACTTCATCGAGCGCAGCAGGCAGTCTAGACAAGGCCAAAATTGGGCGATAGAACAGCACTGCCATACATCGACGGCGTCTCTGAGGCAGTTTCCCGCCTCCTAAGGCCCTTGGGGATCGGGTTCGCTCATCGACCAGACTCAACCATTCGACATTTGCTTATGAGACCGAAGGCCCCCCTGCCACGAGGCGAGACGACAAATGTCATCTACCGGGTCCAGTGTAACTCTTGCCAAGCAAACAACGTCGGAGAGACGGGCAAACGGTTACAAACTCGCGTTAACGAACACATGCGGGCAGTGAGGAGAATGGACCCATTGTCTCTGGTGGCGGAACACTGCGCGGACTCTGGACACACTTTCGCCTTCCAGAACGCCAAAATTCTGGGTCGGGGCAATGACCGCGTAGCCAGGGAAACGATCGACGCCTGGCACACGAAGACAACCTCAATAAACCGTCGTGTCGCCCTTCCGACAGCCTACCAAGTCCTCCGGACACAGCTCAACGAACTAAAGAGCAAGCGCGAGGTCAGGCCGGACGTGAATCTAAACACGAGAGAGCCTACGACGGACCTACACGTAGCCACACCGCAAATCGGGCCCGACGAAGACGCAGTCAATAATACTGTTGCCACAACTACTACTCCGGCAGGCGGGGGGAAACGCGGTCAGAGGGATGCAATCAAGACTAGCAACCCAGCGCGACAATTAAGGTCAACGCGAATGCGGGCGATGGCCACCAACGTTCAAATGCAGCCCCCCGACGAGAGGCAGGCAGATTGACAGCAGTCACCCTCCCTCCCGCTCTGCCCCGGCGACTACAGGACGATTCCTGTGCGTATGCGGGCCATTAGTGCCAAAACCGATTAACCACTCCCCCGGTGTTAGCATGACTGATATCTACCCCCCTACTATAAATACTGAGTGATGCCGTACGATACTCACCTCCGACGATGGATGCTTGTCTGCTTTTGAAACGTCAGGACAATACAATCATGGTTCCCGAGATCGCCTCTTCTTCTCACTTATGTCCGGGGACTCGAATCTTCGCTTCTATCAGCATATATATACTTGTAAATATTGGAAGATGGACATCCCGAGAAACATAATTCAAAGAAGAATGAGTCCTTTGGGAAAATGAACAAACTTTATTTCGTGTCAAACGTGATTCTTGACCGTGTGCAGCTGAATGATATGTCTCGAAATTTATGACGTTAGCAAATTCTGCATGCTTTGTCGCCTTTGCCTTGTTCATAAATGCTTACGTCCACGAAGACGATGACAGCCCCAAAACTCTAGCAAAGAGTATTAATGAGGATCTGACAAGTTTTCGGATGGCAAGAGTCATAACAATAGCCGCCATTCAGAAGATGAGACCTAAGGACGCTGTGGTCGCGAGATTCAATGGTCTTCATAAGATGCACAAAGCGGAAATCGGCAGAATAAGATTTGCGACAAAGACAAGGGAGAATGAAGTGGCCATTTCTGGCTTATTAACCGTCGTCAGCCAGTCATACCCAACCCCGAAGTGTGGAACACCTGCAGCTCGATCCCGCGACTCCTTGGTTGGGACGAGTGGGTTCCTTAAATCTATCGGTGAGCGTCGGTCTGCCGGGGCGGAAATTCCCTGCGCCTGCCCTTCGGGGGACCCCAATGTCGGGGCTGGCCAAGTGGTTATTCCAGCGCCAAATTAGAAGATACCACAGTAAGAACCCATATTGTCTCAAACACAGTTCTATAGAAAATCTCGGCGGTGGGGTATAAATACGCTGCAGCGAGTTCGATGGCGAAAACAACAGAACTCCGCCATCTCGAGCGCCTCATCACGGCCAGTGGGTATCCTCACAATTTCATTGGCTGCGATAGGCAGTCTAAACCAAGCCAAAGTCGGGTGGCATAATATCCGAAAGTCTAAATTTCACTTCCATACATTCATAACATCATTAAGGCTATTGACGTCTTCTAAAACCGTTGGCAATCGACATCTTCCCTGGGCCCCTCTCAACCATTTGACAGCTGATCGTAGCCCTAAGGTCCCCCTGCTACGACGTGAAACGACAAACGTCATCAACCGGGTCCAGCGGGGCTCATGCAAAGTGTAAATATGAAATAACAGTTGGCATTTTAACATGCCTAACAATCAATGCTTCTTTGGCATTTGCTAAAGTTAGCGGCTGTTGTGTGCCGTAATCCTGTTTTGATTGGCTGCCGTCCCTTATGCCTTCATTCCTTACCGCTTCGCGACCGTCTAAGAGGACTCTTGACTGAGCCTCAAAGCGAACTGGATGCGCGTATCCGTAACCCGATCGATTAACGTACTTCCTTAACATACATGCACAGGAAGGTTAGACGACCATCAGAGTCTATTCTCCTGATGGTTCGAGAACAAACAAGTTTTCATTGTCGAAGGTAAATTTCTACGGCGATTTACAGTATGTAGTGGGTGTTGTTCCTGCTGGAATACCACAGTCTTCAAGGTCTCCAATGAGCCATTGTTGTGGACAGTCTCCCTGCTCGGAGGTGTCTCAGTCATTTTCAATTTTTACTTGAGATCACCGCTCGGGATCCCTGATTCGATATACCAATTATTGCATGAAGAGAGAATGCCTACTATTGAAACGGACCTGTTGACCGAAAATCCCATCACATTGCTGAGAACGGCCCTGTGTGTGGAAAACTCAGATGACAAGGAAAAGGCTGAACATCTCTCTTAGTTCGCTTGGATGTGGTTTGGTGGCCCCACCTGAAGTAAACAAACCTCAGTCTCCGCTAATACGCGACTGGTGGTAATAGGGGTTTTTACAGGTGGGGGCGGGGAACGCACAGGCGATGAGGTCAAGCAGTTGCATGCAAAAGAAAAGGTATTGGGAACGCGTAGTTGTACTGCGAGTAGTTGAAAAATAGTTGCTATAACCCCCAACCCTAACCCCTAACTATAACCCCTAATCCTAAACCCTAACCCCTAACCATATCGCCTAACCCCAAACCATCAACCCTAACCCCCAAACCCTTAACCCCAACCCCAACAGTTTGTGTCCATCAGGTGGGGCTACCAAACCACATCTTACCCCTAGTTCTTCTGGTTCATCGTGACAGGTGAACCCGATTTTTCCCACCCAACACCTACCATTGAGGCAGTCCTCTTCACCGGAGTAATCGTTCAGAAAAAGTTGATTAACCTGGAAGAATCCACTTTCCAAGGCCCTGGTGCAAACCCGTTCAAGCTGCTGGAGGATTTAGCCCCCGAAATGTCCAAACGTTAGCTCTGCTCTTCCAAACGTCATTTGCTACTGGGTGCTCACCCTCCGATTTGAAGTCCGCTACCATCAGTCCGCTATTTGAGAGCGGAGGTCAATCATTCACGAATAAGCACAGACCAGTGACCCTTGCCTCCATTTGTTGCAAAATCACGGAGAAAGTCGGTAAGAAAGCGTTGATGCCGTTCCTCGAGCAGAATGGCCACCTCTCCAGTGCCAAACACGGCTTTCGAAGTGGTAGCTCCTGTCTCACAAATCTGCTCCTTACACTCGGTCGCTGGGCCAAAACACGTGGCGAAGGCAATGCGGTGCACGCAGTCTACATTGAATCCAGAAATGCTTTTGGCAGCGTTCCTTACTATCGTGTCCTGCATAAACCGATAAGGCGCGCGTTTCGAATTTGGTTTCAAATGTTCGCTCTCCGAGGAATTTAGTTACTTCGAGATTTGGACTTACTGTACGCTCTTAGAGCTTGCCGGAATTTAGACTTGAATTCGACTCATCAATATCTTCCTCCCAACTAGTCTCCTGCAGCACATTCCCAGAACTCCGATTTCGGCCTTCCTCGTTTCTCATACTTGCAAGCCCAGAAAGTCGGATTAGCTGAAGAACAATTTATCCAAAGTTTCTACAAAGGCTGAGTCGCTTTCCTCCTATTAGACACTGTTTCATCATCGCCTCAAAGTATTTGTCTAAATTTTTGCTCTCGACCATACCTTCCCATTCAGCTAATGAAGTTACTATCTACCGAAAGATCGTCATAAAGGCCTTTCCTTCATACTTAAGTCTACGCTCTTTGTGTATATAGAAAAGTTATCCAGAATGTTGGAGTCTGCACTAGTGTTCCAAAGTAACGCGCACTTGGGATTTGAACCGGGGACCTCAAAACATAGGGCTCGCTCCGCTAACCCCTACACCACCGACGCATGGCCGGACAGCTCAGTTAAAAGCTTTGTTAATTCGTCACCGCAGGATCTGGTAGGATATTCATGTAATGGTTGTCAAACGATAGCCTACAAGATGCATCAACTAGAGGAAGAAGTAAGAAATCTGAAGGAACTTATACACAAGACTGTTCCTACAGAGGACTGCCTGGTGTTATCTACGCAGAGGCTAACTCGGAGTAGAGCGAGAGCCATCCAGCGTAAGGAATCCCCAGAAAGCAATCATGTGGTGAATAAGACCTACTATTAGTAATCAAGTCGTGGCTTCCGATGAAAAAAAGAATAAGAGGAAGAAGACGACACTTAACACCACAGGGAAAAGTCGCCAGAATACGAAAGAGAGTATATTAGCCTTACCCGAAAAGCGGTTGGAAAATGAAACGAATGAAAATGTGCCAACGGAAGAAGTGGAAGTAATGGGGAAGATGACGCCCAATCTTAATAATCCCCAGACAGTGT